GCAAAGAGTGCTTAACGAAAATATTGTGAAACCAGCCCTTGAAAGTGTTATCCTTACAATCTCTATAACGGCAGTCAAACTATTGTATTTGAATACCAAAGTGTGCTCGTGCGAAATGAGTTCTTTTGCCCGCCGATTCTCATTTGGGCCTGCACTGATCCCCTGCGCATTGGCAGCGCTGAGCGCAATGCACGCGGCGCGTGACTGCCACCCTGGGCCGCACGAGCGCTCTTCGGCGGCAGCGTTGTTCGACGCAAGACGCTGCTGTGCAGGAGTTGCCTTGCGGTGCCAGTGGGGCGCGCTGCGGCGCGGTGGGCGGTTGGCGCGCGTAGTGGCGCGCGCTCTGAGGCCCTGCGGCGGCCGACGACGCGCCGCCTCACGCCGACGGCCCGGACGCCCATGAGGGGCGTGGGCCCTCTACCGCCCGTCCGCACCGCTTCAAACCGCCCCCTGCTCGCCCGCCCGCGCGCTGCTCACCTGCCGCCTTCCTGCTCTACGATTTGACCATCTGTGGTATTGAAGATGCTGCCGTGTGCTCTTCTGGTGCGGCGAGTTATGGTTCTACTACTACTTCAAATATTATTGTCACGTTTATTTGTTCGAGCCACATCTTCTTGGTGATTCGGTTGTTTCTCTGATGCATTAAATTACAAAAAAGGCCCCCGGTGGAAGAAAGATCTGGAGAACATGGCAAGTGAAGTTTCAATTTTCTTAAGCCAACACCGTCTATTTGTGTTTAACTTCCAAAATCGTCTTCCCCATCTTGATTTAAAACCCTTTTACTTTATATTTTCTTTGAGTGTCACACATAGAAACTGTAGCGCGTTAGCCTAACGCTACAATCATTCTGATACTACTATTCTGCCTCTATAATTTTAGTCTTTACAAACAACATCTTAACCAGCTACTCTCATATCAACTATTCAGATCGCTACTATCTACAACATCAATCACAGTATACCTACTCTTTATAACTCGTATCTCTCTATACTCTACAGTCCTGTTTATCAACCTTTCTACATCTCACCTAATCAGAGATACGACCTTCTATATCTATGTTCGGATCACGACTATGCGATAACATCTACTTCTAGAATCATACAACAACCACAACTGTTCACTACTGGATCTGAGCTATACGCGTCCCTATCCTCTACAACCTAATATCGAGCTATTCTGATCCTCATCTTCACGTACCTTATACCAGGCCCTACTATACATCTCCTCTTCATCCGTTCTCATTCCCTCACCTCCCGCTGCGCGGCTGCGTCCCAACTAACATCACCACCAACCAACAAATCCTACACCCTATCTTTCTATCTAAATCCAATGATTAGAAAACGGAGTTGAATTTAAACTCCAAAGGCACTTTTCGCTCAATAAGCCTATAATTTATCTTTCAACGACTTAGCAACACTTGATGTGACATCTTTAAGTGAACATTTAAATTATCAAATGAATCCGTGTGGCACATTTCAATTTAATTGTCTTTAATATTTTAGTTGAGCGAAGTCGCCGATGTTTTTTAAATTTTTTGCAATTTTCGAAAAATCAATGTTTTTAACGAAAATGAGACCTGTAACGTCCTCTTAACCAATACTCAACAAAATAATTAATCAAAAACAATTGCAATATTCTTCCCCCAAACTAAAATAATGGTTTAAAATTCAAGGGACCGCAACATCAGCCAGATCCATTGGGGAATGTCAATTTTGGAGGAAATCCGCTGAATAGTTTAGCCGACAGCTTTGTTAACAGAAAGAAAGACGGACGAAGTTTTGCCGTCAATAGATTTTGCGGTATCAAGGACCCAGGAAACATGGATGTGTTAGAAGTGTTTTTTTTTCTTCGAAATTTACCAACTAGGTTTATTCAGCTTTTCGTTTCCAGGGCACTGTAAGAAGAAATTGCTGTTTTTTCGCGCAGCATTACACGGCCTTGTCTCTACGGCGGTAGCGGTTGCTAGAAATAAAATTGCACGGTGTTGTGTGTGTGTGTGTGATTGCGGCAGGTGCTGTTGCGATCGCCGTGCCAGAACGGCGGTGCTCCGAGCGACCTGGCGCGGGCCGCGCGCCGCCTGCGCCGCCTACGTCGCGCGCACCTGTCGCTGGCGCAGCTGGCGTCGCGCGGCGCGGGGGCGTTCGCGCCCTTCACGCTCGCTGCCACGCTCTCCAAGTTCATCTGCGCCCTCAACAGCCTCTACGTCGGGCTCTCGCTCGCCCTGCGCACGGTACCAGTGCCCCACTCCTCAAACACGTCTTTTCGCTTTCATTAACTGATTAACGACAACAACTATAATAATATATTTTATTATTATCATTGTTATTATTATTTTTATTATCATTATCATTATTATTATTATTATTATTATTATTATTATTGTTGTTGTTGTTGTTGTTGTTTTGATCCGATGGCCGATATCTCTAAGGCAGTAGTGTCGTACCGGTCTCGGAGTCGAAGACCGCAGGTCCGAGTCCAGCCTCGGGCAGTGTTATGTCATGTGTGTCTGTGTGATTGTGTGTGTCATCATTCGCTATCATCACAATTTCACCCCAACCCCAGGGGTAACTACCCTGGGGTGTAAAAATGGATTCAGCAGTAAATGATGATCCCTTTCAATAGAATGTAGCGTGCACCTACCCCGATCTGGAGGAGAATTCTAGCGGCCGTATGCAGTGGTCGGTAGTTTTCCGTGGTTTCTCCTATCAACTCCAGGCGAATCCCGGAGCTGTAACCTAACGAACAGGCCACGAACCATGCGCGATCTTTCCTTCCTCCTTCCTTGGCGTTTCTTCCTATCCTCACCCCTTACACTTACTTCCACTAACATGCACTACACTACCACATGCCGGAAGGCCGGCCGGGAGCTCCTCCCTGCTGGGGCGGTGCCCCGCTGGTGAGAGATACCTGGAGAGGGGTCCCCGCTAGTCGTCGGTATGTCCGCGTTGGACATCGCCGTACAGCGGGGCAAAATCACCGTCACCTCCCGACGAATGACATGTACTACACTTACGGGACTAATGACCACAGTATATGACGTGCCCGGAATCACTAACAAACAAACAACCTATCCCGATATTCAAGACTGATGCACATATCGCGTGCCCATGATAGTCGATTCGCAAGGGGGAAAAGTCGATCCGGTAGCCGAGATCGCTAAAGCAGTAGTGCCGTGGCGGTCTTGGACCGAAGGATCGTGGGTTCGACTCCCACCTCGGGCATGGTTGTGATAGTGTGTCTCTGTTTGAGATTGTCTACTTCACCATGTATCATCCATATCATTTCCCTTTACCCCCCTTATCGCTCTGGCTAACAACCGTGGGTTAAAAATGGATTGAGAATGAAAATGCTATAAAAGTCAGGTGCACCTACCCTTGATAAATATTACTGAGCTCCGGCAGGTTGCACTTTTGCGTTGTCTGAAGATGGCCAATTCGCGACCAAAATAATAATAATAATAATAATAATAATAATAATAATAATAATAATAATAATAATAATAGTAATAACGAAGAATATTCAATGTTGAACAGAAATACCAAATTGAAGATGACACAAGCATGCTAATAATAGATGAGAAGCTAAAAGAGAAAATCAAAGCATGTGCTCAACGAATAACACGTTACAAACTTTGAATAAATAAAAATACAGAATAGGTTGTTTGAAACAAACGCGAAGAGAATCTATCGCAATCTGACTCAGAAACCGATTGGCAATATTGACCCACCTTCAACAGATCGAAGCATTTTGGGCCGGAATCTGGGAGGAAAGTAGATCGTACAATAAGACGCATATTGGCTTCAATCTGTAGTTGATGCTGCCGATGAACTTGTGAAAACAATGGAAGATGTTCAAGAATTCTCGGAAGAGGACCTGTTCCAAGCAATTAATAACATGGGAAACTGGAAATCCCCCAGTACTAATAAGATCCAGAAATATTGGATTAAAAAATTAACAGCAATGCATTCTCATCTAGCAAATGCTTTTAATAAAATTTGAGAAAATCTAAAGCAACTCCCGAAATGGCTCACTTGTGGCATCACGGATTTGCTACCCAAAGTGGGAGACAGCTCTTTGGCGATTTACTATAGGCCAATCACTTGTCTGTCAGTATTGTACAAAGTTATAACTGCAGCCATGGCTGACAAAATGTACAGACACATAGAAAGGAACCATCTGTTACCAGTTGAATAAAAATGACGTCGTAAAGGTTCTTATGGCTGCAAGGAAATCTTGGAGCCATAAAGAATTCTAAATAAAATCATCTTGAATGATGTTAAGAAACGAAGGCGTAATTTTAGCATGGCTTGTTTTGACTATCAGAAGGCCTTTGACAGTGTACCACACGATTGGATTCTGAAGACTCTGGAGTTCTCTCGATTTCATCCTGGACTTATTGAGTTTTGAAAGGCTAGTATGAAGTCGTGAAGTACCAGGTTACTAAAATTCAGCGAAAAGGAAGCAGTAGAAATAAGTATTCACATCAAGAGGGGTATTTTTCAAGGAGATTCGCTACCGCAATGCTGTTTCGCATTAGTTTGATTTCACTATGTAGACAGTTGTCGCAAGTTGATTTTCGTTACAAGATCCATGCTGATGAAAGACCAGTATAACATTAGTTTTACATAGATGATTTTAAAGTGTTTGCTAAAATTGAAGCGATTCTCTTCCAAATGCTGTCTGTTGTGGATGTCTTTAGCAATGACATCTGCATAAAGTTTAGTTTTGACAAGTGTTCAAAAATCATTTTAAAGAGAGGCAGATTGACAACGTCAGATAGCAATTAAGTTTATAAGCACACTGTGATTCAAGATCTTGAGCCAGGTAAAACTTACAAATACCTGGGCATTGAAGAATGTGAGACCATCTCGAATGACAAAATGAAAGACGGTCTTCGTAGGGAGTATTACAGAAGAGTGGAAGAGTGAGACTCGTCCTGCTCTCCGCCCTGAACTCCAAGAATAAAATATCTCCAATTGGTAGTTTGGCAGTGCCTGTAGTCGAGTAGAGTTTCGGACTCGTGGACTGGACTGAGCGAGAAATTCGAAGAGGTCGAAAGAACAGAAAACTACTAACAATGCATCATGTCGCCCAATATCGAGCAGGAGACTTTAAGTGTCTCGTAAGGAAGGAGGAAGAGGCTTCAAACAAATTTTAGCCTCCTGGCACAATGCAATAGTCGGGATGCGAAAGTATGAAGTCAGTCATCAAGATGATCCTCTAATGAGGCAGGTCATGAAATCTGAGCAAAGAATGGAAAACAGAGGCATTGTTAGTGTAGCAAGAAGCATTGCAAAGAAAACTATGCAAGTCACTGAACTTCTGATGCTACTAAACATGAAATGTGAGACAAAAAATTTAAGAAATCGTTTGAGACAAACACTCCATGGACATTATCTAA